CTAAAGCCTGCACATGGCATTGCCAAACTCTGATTTGTTCTTATTGGAATTTCAGAAGTTACTAAAGTTTTTCTTCTAACTTTTTTCTTACTATTTTTCAGATAAAAATTTAGATTTGGCTTATTGTTACTGTGAAATTTATCTTGTATAAATGAGAATAGATTCCATCCCATACATTAGTTTGCTATTTATGTTTTCTACCAAAGTTTTTAGCTTAAGATGTGAGATGTTTTTGTGTAAACTTATGTGTATTAAATCACCTGCACAAATTGCAAATGTTGCATATGAAATACGTCTATTTATTATAATATTAAGTAGTAAATATTAAATAATATATTACATAATAAATAGTAAATGTTCTTCAAAGAGGCACACAGTATGATTCAGCACAGACTCTGGAGCCATAGCTTACTTCACTGTATGACCTTAGGCATATATTACATATGAAATATGTCTATTTATCATAATATTAAAAACTTTTTTCAGAGAAACGATTAAGATCTAAGTTTCTCATTCAATGTTATTATTTAGTCGTATCTCCTAGTTTGTCCAGGAAAGTTGTAGTTTATGCTTGTTTCTTTGTCATAATTAACAACACCTTCTTTTGCTTTCAAAACTATCCCATGTTAAAAAGTACATTATTTGGACAATGGTTATTGTACTAAGATGCTCACTTTTCCTTTGCATTTTACATACAATTAAGATTTTGTTTCCCTTCTTTTTTTTTCTATACAGAAACATATAGCAGATAGGAAAGATACGTATGTGTTATGGGAGATGGAGTTAGTAAGAAACAACATGAAAGAATTGTGACAAATATAGCTTGAGGAGTCAGGTATTAGACTTATAAAAGTATTTTTAGGGATTACATATATCCAAACCTCTGTATTTGCAGGTTCCACATCTAATGAATGGTTCAGCCAAATCCAGAAGTATTTTGAAACAAAATTGTGTCTTTACTGAACATGTGCAGACTTTTTCTTGTTATCATCAATTCCTGATCAGTATAGTATAGCGTTTATTTATATAGCATTTACATTGTATTAGGTATTCTAAGTAACCTAGAGATAACTTAAAGTATATAGAATAATATGCATAGGTTATATGTAAATACTATATCATATTATGCAAGGGACTTGAGCATCCTTGGATTTTAGTATCCACAGGGCCAGGAGCCAATCTTCTGCAGGTACTGAGAGACTTGGCATTTTTGTATTTTTAGACATTTGTTATAATATTGGCCAGTTGGTCAAATACCAACATCTTTTTCTGTGTTATTATAATTACATTTGGTTATACACTCAGATTGGACTTTTAAAAATTGAGCTTTCATTAGTTTATGCATACTACAGATAGAGTCTGTCAATTTTTCAAGTGTCTCTTTTGAGGAACATTTGGATTCCTGCTATTTCATCTGTAATTATATTTCTGTTACATTTTATAATGCATTTAACATTTAAAAATGGATTATTTATTAGTTATTTAGTGTTTTATCTATGGCAAGCATATAATCCATCTGGTGTTTTATCAAACCAATGTAATTTTGAAAAAGCATGTTACGTACCATGGGCTATGAAAACAAATGTATATGATATATTCAAAATTCTTCTAAGGCCAATTTTTATTTGACATCAATTTATGCTATGAGGTGGTCCTATAATAATAAATCTCATAATGTCAGAATTTCCCAAGGAGAAAATATCTCTGATACAAAGGAATTCTTAAGAGAGGCACACAGACTCTTGAGCCAGACTCTTTAGGTTCACATTTGGGCTCCATAGCATACCTCACTGTGTGACCTTAAGCCAGTGATTAACCTTGGTGTTTCAGTCTTCTCATTTGTATAATAGAAGTAATGGTATAACATATAGTTTGTGGGAGTGTCATGACAATTAAACAAAAACAGAAAATGAAAATGTGAAATGCCTAAAACAGTTCCTGACATATGGTAAACAATTACTATTATTTTAGTGTTTACTATTACTATTATTGACAGTATAAGAATGCATTCAGTTTACCTCTCTCAGATTTAATTTGAAATATGTCAGTTGATATTAAAGGAAAAATAAAGTATTCAGGTTGTGGAGTATATACGGATTTACACAGAAATATCACCCACATACACCTATTAGAGGACCTCTTGATAGAAGCCTCTGCTTCTAAAACTTTCCTCTATTTATTTTGGTTTTCTCTTGCTTAATTGCCTTACCTATTTATTCTCTAAAGTTTAATTGTACATGCCACTTTTTTTTAAAATGTTTCCCTTTATTCCCTTATCTTTCCTACTCCAGTTTAAAAAAAAAAAAAAAAAAACTCCTCTTTGTGACCTTAGAATTTTGTTTATGCCTTAACGTCAGCATTTATAGTTAGCTGAATAATAAAGATTGTGGCATGGTGAACGTATTAGTACCCTCTAATATCTCTTCCTATAAGCCTTAATGGTAGCTTTTCCTATATTTTATTTCTTTCCCTGTGTCTTAGTGTTATTACTAATGACAATGGTTACAAGAAAGGAAATATATATAGTTAGGAACTGAAGCATCTCCAGTTTCCAACTAAGCATTCTTGTTTAATTAGTACTCTAAATGTGACCTACTTGGAATTCTATTGCTGAAACAACTTAGAATAATGAGGCTTGTTTGAAAAATGAAAATTAAAACCAATTTGTGGTGACTTACTAAAATATTTAGATCATCTAGGAATGAAAAAAGACATAAATGTTTAATATACTTAGAGAATTTTAGTCTCTAAAATTAATTTTTCATGTTTCATTTGGTTTGATAATAGAATATTTTTGAAGTTTGCTGTAATCAGAATATCAGAAAATAATAATGTGCCATTTTCCAACAGCTACATTTTTAATTTTTATTATCTTTTTTTTTTTTTCTTTTTCCTCTTTTGGTACTGGGGATTGGGCCCAGGGGTACTTTACCACTGATCTACATCTCCAGTCCTTTTTTTTTTTTTTTTTTTTTTTTTTAAAGATAGAGTGAGAGAGGGAAGGAGGGAGGGAGGGAGAGAGAGAATTTTTAACATTTATTTTTTAGTTCTCGGCAGACACAACATCTTTGTTTGTATGTGGTGCTGAGGATCGAACCCGGGCCGCACGCATGCCAGGCGAGCGCGCTACCGCTTGAGCCACATCCCCAGCCCTCCAGTCCTTTTTATATTTTATTTTGAGACAGAGTCTTGCTAAATTTCTGAAGGTCACCTTGATTTGGTGACAGTGGCCTCAAATTTTTAGTCCTCCTTGCCTCAGCCTCCTAAGTCACTGGGATTATAGGCATGCAACATCATGTCTGAAGCTACTTTATATTTCCAGTTACATAATAGCATATGAAAGTAAGTTTATTTTCTTTTTAATAAGAGTTGCCTGTACTCTAGTTTTTTTTTAAACTATTTTGTTTCTCACTCATAAACTGTTTTGCTGATGAATTTGTAATGATTCACATGTTTTAAATTCGTTGTTAAAACATCACAAAGCAAAAGACTACTGGCTTAGCCAGTATGACCACTAAGCATTTCTGTCCGATATTTATCAGATAGATTTATTCAGATATGGGTTCTTATTACTCCCTACTGAACTTCTCTGTGAAAAATAAAAAATAAGATCTAGTTGTCTAATCCAGTTCTTTATGGGAGATAGATAGGGTGATGGGTATAAAAATCATGGCTCTGGAGTAAGTAACAACCAGGGTAGACTACGGCCCTCTAACGTTTTCGCTGCGTGACTTGGTGCTAAACATGTAAGTTCTCTAAATTTCAGTTTACTAAACTATAAAATAGGTTAGAAAAGACAACATAGGAGATTTGTAGGGATTAAGTAAACAAAATCATTTGTGTTACTTTACATATTTTAACTGTTATGAAAGTAGGTTTTTTGGTTTTGTTTACTTGTTTTTTTAGTACATGACTTTGAAGAAGCTTACTGTTAGCGTTTTTTCTTGATCCAAAATCTTATCTGTATTAAAACACAAGTAGAATTTGATCTTTGAAGGCTCATACCTGACTGTATAATCTCCTAATTACTCACTGTTGTTAAGTTCTACCTTGTGGACACTCCTTAACTATCACTAAATGTAATCTTATTGACAATTTCAGTTCCTACTGTCATCACCACTATAAGATGACTTACCTAATACCTGGACTCCTATTTCTTGATTCCTACGTGAATAGGAATCCCAGCTCTACTTCATTTAGCCACTGCAGTGGTCACACCCTTTCTTGTCATCAACTGAAATTCTGCCATAGAAAGTACCATTCTGTTTCTAAATCACCTTTCTCCAACAACAATCTCTAATCTTTCAACTTGCGTGTACAACTACTTCCACTTAATCTGTTTGTCATCTTACAGGACCTCCAGTCCTTTGTTCCTTCTACTTTTTTCTGATATCTCAGCTTTTCTGTGTTCCCTTCTCCTTCCTTCTTCCCTGAGATTCCAAGGTCCATTGTTTCATCTGTTCTCTTGCCAATGCAACAAAACTTCATTCTCATTTTAATTCTTGTGTCCTTCATGAATATATTTTCATTAAAAATGATTAATAGAAAATTAATTAACCTCACAAAACCTCAGTTTTCTTGTAGATAATTTATTAGTAATTACACCCATCGTTAGATTATGGTAAGGATTAAGTGAGGTACAGTATTATATAAACTGTTCAACCTATACTCGACCCATATAAAGAACAGTAGTGAAGAAACTTTTCAAACTGTGTGGACTTTCAGGATTCCCCACTGATATTCTCTATGAATAATGAAAAACTGAATTTTAATTATCTAGTTCTAATATTTAGACACAGACCGTATTTACACTACATGGTTTAATGCTGCTAGAAACTCAGCAAGCCAGGCAGACTAATGTAATATACACTTGGGGTCACTAACCTGTAATGGTCCTTAAAATTGAGAGCTAGTCCAACTATGAGCAGAAAAATTTATGACTCTTTAAAAGAAGGATATATTTTCATTTTAAATAACCAAAATGTATTTTTAAATTTTAGAAATCTTCGAGAAGCAAGGGATAATGCTATGGCTGAAAAGGACCGAGCAGTGATGGCCGAAAAGGATGCTTTAGAAAAACATGACCAGCTCTTAGACAGGTGAGCATCCTAAAAATAGAAATGTTAAAGCTCTTCAATTTTTGTTCCTGTTACTTTTTCTTTTTGAAAATATCTTTTTAATAGAAGTATAATTTTCATTTCAATTAAATTATAGTTTTCATGTATTATTTCTACAATATATAATTGTTACATTTATTGAAAACTTAATAATAGAACAGTTTAGTCACTCCAGAGAGTTTCCTTATATTCCTTTCAGCCCACCTTATCTGTTGAGGGCCACAGCCGAGTCGGGATGATGCATGGCATTTTTGCCAGAAGTAGTGGTTGAGAGATGATGCCAGCGAGTTCTCACGGAGTTCCCATTGAGTTCCAGTTGAGCTCTCACTGGGATTCCCGGAGAGTTCCCATTAGTTGGAGAAGTGCCGGAGGAGGGATATTTCCGGTTGCTGGTTCCTGGACGAGCTGCGTAGCATTCGGGAGATTTCCTGGGAGCGTGTGTGGAGTGTTCTGGTAGAGTTCAGAAATAAAGTTTGTTCCTGCTTCAGTGACTCGTGATTTGTGCCCAGCCAGACTGCGGCACTTATCCACTACCCCTCAAGAGGCAACCACTTTATAATTTCTATCACTATAACTCAGTTTTGTTCTTGGACAAAAAGTAAATAGAACCTTGCAAATTATACTCTTTTGTGTCTGGCATCTTTGATTTAACGTTATGTTTTTCTTTTTTTTTTGTTACTGTATCAGTAGTTATTATTGCTAATTGTGAACATACCAGTTTTATTGTTTTTACCTGTCATCAGACACTACAATTGTTTCTTGTTTGTAGCTACCATTGAAAAGATGCTGTGAGCATTCTCATACAACATTTTTGTGAGCATATTTTTATTTCTCTTGTATAAATACCTAGAATTGGAATTGCCACTCACAGGTGAGGTAAGTGTTTTAGTTTAAAAGAACCTATAAAACTTTAACTCTGAAGTGGTGGGATCATTATACACTTCCAGTTCATTTTTCAAAATTCATATGTAAAATATATGTGTGTCATAAAGAGGGCAACAGCGAATTATATTGTTTTAGCAATACAAAAGGATTTTTTTCAGAAATGAATGTATTTGTGAAAATGTAGGTTACTTTTTTCTATTAGGATAGTAGAATTTTGGATCCTAGAGAATACTTACTTACTGTTCTTGGGTTTTGTTTTTCTCTTTCCACATTTTTTTATTGGTGCATTATAGTTATATATGATGATGGGATTTGTTGTTACATATTTGTAAATGAACACAGTCTAACAATAATTTGGCCAGTATCATTCACCAGCGTTTCCCCCTCCCTCCCAAAGCATGTTTATTTTTATTTTTTTATTTTTTATTGTTGGTTGTTCAAAACATTACATAGTTCTTGATATATCATATATCACACTTTGATTCAAGTGGGTTATGAACTCCCATTTTTACCCCGTATACAGATTGCAGAATCACATCAGTTACACATCCATTGATTTACATATTGCCATACTAGTGTCCGTTGTATTCTGCTGCCTTTCCTATCCTCTACTATCCCCCCTCCTCTCCCCTCCCCTCCCCTCTTCTCTCTCTACCCCCTCTACTGTCATTCATTTCTCCCCCTTGTATTATTTTCCCCTTTCCCCTCACTTCCTCTTGTATGTAATTTTATATAACCCTGAGGGTCTCCTTCCATTTCCATGCAATTTCCCTTCTCTCCCCCTTTCCCTCCCACCTCTCATCCCTGTTTAATGTTAATCTTCTTCTCATGCTCTTCGTCCCTACTCTGTTCTTAGTTACTCTCCTTATATCAAAGAAGACATTTGGCATTTGTTTTTTAGGGATTGGCTAGCTTCACTTAGCATAATCTGCTCTAATGCCATCCATTTCCCTGCAAATTCTATGATTTTGTCATTTTTTAATGCAGAGTAATACTCCATTGTGTATAAATGCCACACTTTTTTTATCCATTCGTCTATTGAAGGGCATCTAGGTTGGTTCCACAGTCTTGCTATTGTGAATTGTGCTGCTATGAACATCGATGTAGCAGTGTCCCTGTAGCATGCTCTTTTTAGGTCTTTAGGGAATAGACCAAGAAGGGGAATAGCTGGGTCAAATGGTGGCTCCATTCCCAGCTTTCCAAGAAATCTCCATACTGCTTTCCAAATTGGCTGCACCAATTTGCAGTCCCACCAGCAATGTACAAGTGTACCCTTTTCCCCACATCCTCGCCAGCACTTGTTGTTGTTTGACTTCATAATGGCTGCCAATCTAACTGGAGTGAGATGGTATCTTAGGGTGGTTTTGATTTGCATTTCTCTGACAGCTAGAGATGTTGAGCATTTTTTCATGTACTTGTTGATTGACTGTATGTCCTCCTCTGAGAAGTGTCTGTTCAGGTCCTTGGCCCATTTGTTGATTGGGTTGTTTGTTCTCTTATTGTCTAATTTTTTGAGTTCTTTGTATACTCTGGATATTAGGGCTCTATCTGAAGTGTGAGGAGTAAAGATTTGTTCCCAGGGTGTAGGCTCCCTATTTACCTCTCTTATTGTTTCTTTTGCTGAGAAAAAACTTTTTAGTTTGAGTAAGTCCCATTTGTTGATTCTAGTTATTAACTTTTGTGCTATGGGTGTCCTATTGAGGAATTTGGAGCCCGACCCCACCGACTGTAGATCGTAGCCAACTTTTTCTTCTATCAGACGGCGCGTCTCTGATTTGATATCAAGCTCCTTGATCCATTTTGAATTCACTTTTGTGCATGGCGAGAGAAAGGGATTCAGTTTCATTTTGTTGCATATGGATTTCCAGTTTTCCCAGCACCATTTGTTGAAGATGCTATCCTTCCTCCATTGCATGCTTTTAGCCCCTTTATCAAATATAAGATAGTTGTACTTTGTGGATTGGTTTTTATGTCCTCTATTCTGTACCATTGGTCCACCTGCCTGTTTTGGTACCATTACCATGCTGTTTTTGTTACTATTGCTCTGTAGTATAGTTTGAAGTCTGGTATCGCTATACCGCCTGATTCCCACTTCCTGCTTAGCATTGTTTTTGCTATTCTGGGTCTTTTATTTTTCCATATGAATTTCATGATTGCTTTCTCTATTTCTACAAGAAATGGCGTTGGGATTTTGATTGGCATTGCATTAAACCTATAGAAAACTTTTGGTAATACCGCCATTTTGATGATGTTAGTTCTGCCTATCCATGAACAGGGTATGTTTTTCCATCTTGTAAGATCTTCTTCTGTTTCTCTCTTTAGGGTTCTGTAGTTTTCATTGTATAAGTCTTTCACCTCTTTTGTTAGGTTGATTCCCAAGTATTTTATTTTTTTTGAGGATATTGTGAATGGAGTGGTTATCCTCATTTCCATTTCAGAGGATTTGTCGCTGATATACAGGAATGCCTTTGATTTATGCGTGTTGATTTTACATCCTGCCACTTTGCTGAATTCATTTATTAGCTCTAATAGTTTCTTTGTAGACCCTTTTGGGTCTGCTAGGTATAGAATCATGTCACTGCAAATAGTGATAATTGAAGTTCTTCTTTTCCTATTTTGATGCCTTTAATTTCTTTCATCTGTCTAATTGCTCTGGCCAGTGTTTCGAGAACTATGTTGAACAGAAGTGGTGAGAGAGGGCATCCCTGTCTTGTTCCAGATTTTAGAGGGAATGCCTTCAGTTTTTCTCCATTCAGAATGATGCTAGCCTGAGGCTTAGCATAGATTGCTTTTACAATATTGAGGTATGTTCCTGTTATCCCTAGTTTTTCTAGAGTTTTCAACATAAAGGGATGCTGTACTTTGTCGAATGCTTTTTCCACATCTATCGAGATGATCATATGGTTCTTATTTTTAAGTCTATTGATGTGGTGAATAACATTTATTGATTTCCGTATATTGAACCAGCCTTGCATCCCAGGGATGAATCCTACTTGATCATGGTGCACAATTTTTTTGATATGTTTTTGTATCCGATTCGCCAGAATTTTATTGAGGATTTTTGCATCTAGGTTCATTAGAGATATTGGTCTGTAGTTTTCTTTCTTTGAGGTGTCTTTGTCTGGTTTAGGAATCAGGGTGATGTTGGCCTCGTGGAATGAATTTGGAAGTTCTCCCTCTTTTTCTATTTCCTGAAGTAGCTTGAAAAGTATTGGTATTAGTTCCTCTTTAAAGGTTTTGTAAAACTCTGCTGTATACCCATCCGGTCCTGGGCTTTTCTTAGTTGGTAGTCTTTTGATGGTTTCTTCAGTTTCCTCAATTGATATTGGTCTGTTTAGGTTGTCTATATCCTCCTGACTCAATCTGGGCAGATCATATGACTTAAGAAATTTATCGATGCCTTCACTATCTTCTAATTTATTGGAGTATGAGGATTCAAAATTATTTCTGATTATCTTCTGTATTTCTGAAGTGTCTGTTGTGATATTGCCTTTTTCATCCCGTATGCTAGTAATTTGAGTTCTCTCTCTTCTTCTCTTCGTTAGCACAGCTAAGGGTCTGTCGATCTTATTTATTTTTTCAAAGAACCAACTTTTAGTTTTGTCAATTTTTTCAATTGTTTCTTTTGTTTCGATTTCATTAATTTCAGCTCTGATTTTAATTATTTCTTGCCTTCTACTTCTTTTGCTGTTGTTTTGCTCTTCTTTTTCTAGGATTTTGAGATGAAGTATGAGATCATTTATTTGTTGGTTTTTTCTTTTTTTAAGGAATGAACTCCAAGCAATGAAGTTTCCTCTTAGAACTGCTTTCAGTGTGTCCCATAGAGTCCGATATGTTGTGTCTGTGTTTTCATTTATCTCTAAGAATTTTTTAATTTCCTCCTTGATGTCTTCTATAACCCATTGATCATTCAGTAACCTATTGTTCATTCTCCAGGTGATGCATGATTTTTCCTTCCTTCTTTTATCGTTGATTTTCAGTTTCATTCCATTATGATCAGATAAGATGCATGGTATTATCTCTACTCCTTTATATTGTCTAAGAGTTGCCCTGTGACATAATATATGATCTATTTTTGAGAAGGATCCATGTGCTGCTGAGAAAAAAGTGTAACTGCTTGATGTTGGGTAGTATATTCTATATATGTCAATTAAGTCTAGGTTATTAATTGTGTTATTGAGTTCTATAGTTTCCTTATTCAACTTTTGTTTGGAAGATCTGTCCATTGGTGAGAGAGGTGTGTTGAAGTCTCCCATGATTATTGTATGGTGGTCTATTAGACTCTTGAACTTGAGAAGAGTTTGTTTGATGAACATAGCTGCACCATTGTTTGGGGCATATATATTTATGATTGTTATGTCTTGTTGGTGTATGGTTCCCTTGAGCAGTATGTAGTGTCCCTCTTTATCCCTTTTGATTAACTTTGGCTTGAAATCTATTTTATTTGATATGAGTATGGACACTCCTGCTTGTTTCCGAAGTCCATATGAGTGATATGATTTTTCCCAACCTTTCACCTTCAGCCTATGTATGTCTTTTCCTATCAAATGCGTCTCCTGTAGGCAGCATATTGTTGGGTCTTGTTTTGTTATCCATTCTACTAGCCTGTGTCTCTTAATTGGTGAGTTTAAGCCATTAACATTTAGGGTTATTATTGAGATATAGGTTGTTCTTCCAGCCATATTTGTTATTTATGTTACTAAACATGGTTTGTTTTCCTCTTTGATTATTTTCCCCCCTTTACTGTCCTACCTCCTACTGTTGGTTTTCATTGTTATTTTCCATTTCCTCTTCCTGTAATGTTTTGCCGAGGATGTTTTGAAGAGATGGTTTTCTAGCTGCGAATTCTTTAAACTTTTGTTTATCGTGGAAGGTTTTAATTTCATCTTCCATCCTGAAGCTTAATTTCGCTGGAAACACAATTCTTGGTTGGAACCCATTTTCTTTCAGTGTTTGAAATATGTGATTCCAGGATCTTCTAGCTTTCAGAGTTTGTGTTGAAAGGTCAGCTGTTATCCTGATTGGCTTACCCCTAAATGTAATCTGCTTCCTTTCTCTTGTAGCTTTTAAAATTCTCTCCTTATTCTGTATGTTGGGCATCTTCATTATAATGTGTCTAGGTGTGGATCTCTTATGATTTTGCACATTCGGCGTCCTGTAGGCTTCTAGGATTTGGGATTCTGTCTCATTCTTCAAGTCTGGGAAGTTTTCTCGTATTATTTCATTGAGTAGATTGCTCATTCCTTTGGTTTGGACCTCTATACCTTCCTGTATCCCAATGACTCTTAAGTTTGGTCTCTTAATGTTATCCCATATTTCTTGGATGTTCTGCTCATGGTTTCTTAACAGGCTTGCTGAGCTGTCTATGTTCTTTTCAAGTTGAAATACTTTGTCTTCATTGTCTGATGTTCTATCTTCTAAGTGTTCTACTCTGCTGGTAGTATTCTCCATTGAGTTTTTAAGTTGGTTTATTGCTTCCTGCATTTCTAGGATTTCTGTTTGTTTTTTATAACCTCTATCTCCCTGTATAGTTGATCGTTTGCTTCCTGGATTTGTTTGTGTAATTCATTGTCGAAGTGATCTTTCATTGTCTGATTTTGCTGTCTAATGTCTTCCTTGAGACTCCGGATCATCTGAAGCATGTATATCCCGAATTCTTTATCTGACATTCCATCTGCTGCAGCTGTTACCTCTTCTGAAGTTGAGTTGACCTGCATTGCTTGTGGTCCTTTCTTTCCTTGTCTTTTCATACTGCTTGCGTTTCTTTCTGCTTGGTGAAACTGTTGTGTTTTTGAAAATTTTTTCCCCGTATATATTTCTATTGCTCTTGTATAGTTGAAAAGTCTCTCTTGCAGGGTCGGGCGGCGGTCTGCCTACCTTGCAGGCGCAGGCGGCGGCTCTGCTCTGCCCCTCCTCCAATTGGTGTGACGTGTCTACCACACCCGCAGACCCCTGGGCCTGTTCTGCCGGTTGGTCACAGGTCTGCCTACCTTGCAGGTGCAGGCGGCGGCTCTGCTCTGCCCTTACTCCAATTGGGGTGATGTGTCTACCACGCCGGCAGGCCGCTGGACCTGTCCCAGGCGCGGGCGAAAGCTCTGCTCTGCCCCTACTCCAATTGGGGTGACGTGTGTACCACGCCGGCAGGCCACTGGGCGTGATCCGCCGGTCGGTTGCAGGTCTGCCTACCTTGCAGGCGCGGGCGGCGGCTCTGCTCTGCCCCTCCTCCAATTGGTGTGACTTGTCTACCACCCCCGCGGTCCGCTGGGCCTGTTCCGGGCACAGGCGAAGGCTCTGCTCTGCTCCTACTCCAATTGGGGTGACGTGCCTACCACCCCGGCCGGCCGCTGGGCCTGTTCCACAGGTCGGTCGCAGGTCTGCCTACCTTGCGGGCACGTGCGGCGGCTCTGCTCTGCCCCTACTCCAAATGGGGTTGCGTGTCTGTTGTGCCGGCAGGCCACTGGGCCTGTTCTGCTGGTCGGTCGCAGGCCTGCCTACCTTTCGGGCGCGGGTGGCGGCTCTGCTCTGCCCCTACTCCAATTGGGGTGTCCTGACTACCACGCCGGCAGGTCGCTGGGCCTGTTCCGGGCACGGGCGGCGGCTCTGCTCTGCCCCTACTCCAATTGGGGTGACGTGTGTACCACGCCTGCAGGCCGCTGGGCCTGATCCGCCCGTCTGTCGCAGGTCTGCCTATCTTGCAGGCGCGGGTGGCGGCTCTGCTCTGCCCCTACTCCAATTGGGGTCACGTGGCTACCATGCCGGTGGGCCGCTGGGCCTGTTCCGAGCGCGGGCGGCGGCTCTGCTCTGCCCCTCTGGCTTGATGACAAAGTGAGAGAGACTCGGGTGTTTGTGACTCACTTTCTTTACCAGGATACCAACTGTTTCTGTCGCCGCTGGTATCGATGAAGTTCTCTCCTCTGCCGCCTTCTGATGACATCAGATCTCTGCCATGTTGGTATCCCATGTGAATGGCAGCATTTCGTTCCCTTTGCCGGGTGACCAAAGCAACGGGTGAGTCCTGACCGGCCCTCACAAGCCCCGTCTCAGTCCTGTTGCCACTGCCTATGAAGGCTTGGTTGGTATTTACCTCCACAGTATTCAGCAGGACCCGGACCCGAGAAGCGGTTTCCGCGGGTTCTTTATCCCTGGGCCAGAGCAGTTCCGGGAGCCGGAATTCGGCCGCTCCGTGCTCGGTGTATGTTCTGATAGGAGCAGGCTCCAAGAAGCAGTTTCCACGGGTTATTTAGCACTGAGCCTGAGTAATTTGTCTGCGAGCCACAGGCGAATGGCAGCCTGAAATTACCTCTTCTATGGCTGAATGAGCTGCGATCAGTCGAAAACAGGGATGGTGACGTCAGCTCTCCAAGATGGTGGCCGCTGGCTTCCTCTGTGGTCTGACCGGTGTGGAGAACCGAATTGGACTGCTTCCTTCCCCCGTCTCAAACCCAGAATTCAGCACTGAGTACGGTGATTGCACAGCTGGCAGAAGCCCGCAGAAACTGCAGCGCTGTATCTTTGCGTTGCTATCTCCTCGTTTCCCAGCGCGCGCCGCAGATTCTAGCCGCAGGGCGATTTGCTGAATAAGCAGCGTGACCCTCTGTGCGGACAAATCTCTCGCGTTTGAGACGCCGTAGCTGATCCTCGTGCGATGGAAATCCTTCCTCTAGGTTTTGGAGCACCCCAATTTTGCTGGCAATTCCTAACAAGATAGCTTTTAGCCATCGTTCTAACTCGTCATTCTCCCGCACAGTGACGTGGTACACGGGGGTAATGCTCTCCCTTCGCCGCCGTCTTCCCAGAACCCGCATGTTTATTTTTAATAGCTTTATTAAAAGGAAAATCGCAAGCTGGATACCATAGCACATGCTTATAATCCCATCACCTCTGGAGACTGAAACACAATGATCTCAAGGTGGAGGCCAGCCTCACCAGCTTAGCAAAACCCTGTCTCAAAAAGACAAAAACAAGCAAACAAAATGACTGGGTATGGGATGTAACTCAGTATTATAACACTCCTGGGTTTAATCCCTAGTACCAAAAAAAAAAAAGGAAGATCACTGATTAGCATTAAGCTAAATATCATTATCTCACATGGTTTGACTGCTTGTTTTTCTAACTTTTGGGGGGGGAAAGGGGATGAGTCCTGAGATTATAACCCAGAGTCAGTTTACCATTGAGTCAGTTCTTTTTATTTTTTATTTTGAGACAGGGTCTCACTAAGTTGCCTAGAGCCTCACTAAGTTGTTGAGGCTAGCCTTAATCTTGCAATTGTCCTATCTCAGCCTACCAAGCCACTGGGATTATAGGTGTGTGCTTTTTCTAACCTTTTTATTTTGAAATAATTTCAAACATAAATGTTGCTAAAATAATACAGGTGTTTCTATATGTCTTTCACATACTAATAAACTTCTGAATTTAAGCTCAATGTTTCTTTTAATTTATGAGTAAAAGACCTTTTCTTTTTTGAGACAGAATCTTGCTCTGTTGCCCAGGCTGGCCTCAAACTCCTGGGTTCAAGCAATCCTTCCTCATTCTCTCAAGTAGTTGGGACTAAAGGCATATACCACTGTATCTGGCTTCTAATTTGTGATTTAAATAACACATAAAACTAAAATTTGTGCTCAGGTGTAGCTCAGTGATAGAGAACTTGCCTAGCATTCATGAGGCCCAGAGTTCGATTCCCAGACTACAAAAAGAATAACCCAAAAAAACAAACAAACAAACAAAAAACACCCATTTAACAAATTTGATATAAAACAGAGAAGAATAACAAATAAATTGAATAACAGAATAAGGATCTTTCCTGGCAAAATTAATGAGCTGAATGACTTTTAATGCAAAAAAATGTAAGAATATGCACTTGGGTCTAAAAATCCTACAGTAGTTTTATAGAGTCAGCAGTGAAATGCGGAAATGACTTGGAAGATTTCAGTATGGAAGTATTATCATGGAGTAATAGAATTCTACCCTTAGGCTGGTGAGATCGGAGCAAGCAAACAGCGGACTGACCCAGGGTTCGGGTGAGGGACCGGGACAGGGAACCTGTGTGAGGTCAGAGACTTCTGGCCAGGTGCTGGATCTCAGGTACCCTGTGCCCAAGATGCGGTAGAAGCGTCGAGCACGTGAAGCCAGGGGCCCAGCGCCGCCAATCCGTCGCCCAGCCCATGGCGACCCCAGCCCTGGAGCTGCTCTTGGCGCTCGGCCTGCCGTTGCTGCCGGCCCTCTTGGGCCGAGCCTGGGGGCACACTACCACAGCACTGAACCCTTCGGAGAATGGCACTATCACGCCCTCTGTCCCCAGCCCCAGTGAGGGTCTGTCTCAGGAGGCCATTACTTGTATCATCGTGGTTTTCTCCGTCCTGGCCGCCTTGCTCCTGGCCGTGGGGCTGGCGCTACTGGTACAGAAACTTCGGGAGAAGCGGCAGACAGAGGGCACGTACCGGCCCAGCAGCGAGGAGCAGGTGGGTGCCCGCGCACCACTGCCCCCCAATCTCAAGTTGCCTCCGGAGGAGCGGCTCATCTGAAGACTGTGGACAGCTGCAGCTGCCCGTTCTGCCCAGGACTGCCCAACACCCCCGCGCACAGAGCAGCCGCCACTGAGACACCAGCTCTGATGACTCAGGGGCACTATGGGGCACTGGCCTGGTGGCTGTGCAGCATGCTGCCTCTGCTGGACTCTGCATGCAGCTGGGAGGCCGGGACGGGGCCACTCCCGCTTGCTGCACCGTCTTCATTTCACTGTGCTGTGTACTGTCCCCTGCAGCAGGCCCAACAACCCCCAATCCTTTCTTTCAGTTCTCTCACGCAGCGGATGCTCAAGCCCCCCCAGGACTCCAAGGAGAAGGTGCCGGGCTGCCTGCCCATCTAGGTCCCTCCCTTCCTCCATCTCCCTTCCCTGCTATGTGACCTTGGGGAAGGGGTGTCTTCTCTAGGCAATCAGACTCACCCAGTGCTTGAGAATAGAAGGGAAGAAGGTGCTTCAGAGACTTGTTTCCTGGGGGCAGGGGGAGGGCTGCTCACGTTTTATACATTTATGTAAAGTTGGTAGTGACATGTAATAAAGCTTTTTTGGGTTAGTGGGAACATTAGCCTAGATGGAGAGATGAAGGTAGTGGTGAGTTATAAGGTTACGGGGATCTTAGGGGTGTGAGGGGGCTTCCTGGAAGAGAGTGGCTTTTAGGTGCACCTAGGAGCCAGAAGGGCTAGCCCTGGAGGGTGGGTGGGGGTAGGTGGGTTTTGGATCTGAGAGTAGGCCCACCCTAAACTCACCAGGACAGACCAGCTTTGGGCTCTCGTGGCTTTATTGAGGATCCAGGGTCTCCTCCACACCCCTGATCCTTTACCCTCAAAACACTTCTTAAGATCAGCAACTCGCGGCCTCTTCCTGGCCTGGGGCTCTTGCCAATCGTTGGTGGGTGAGGTAAGGGTGTTGGGGATTCCTGCGTCCTCGGGGGACTGGAAGTGAGCATGTTCTAGCAGGACCTTGGGAGGCTGGGTTCTGGGATTCTTGGAAAACTGGGGTCTGGGGAAGACTCAAGGGACTGGGATGTCCTGACAATATCAAAGTTAGGCTCTATGGGGGCTAGAAGTTGGGGACTTTTTGGAGGGCTGGGCTAGGTGTTTGCCTGGGAGAGCCTGGTGCAAGGGATCTCCCAGGCTCTAGGATGCTCAGTTGCCTTTTGAAGAGGGGAGAGATGAAGGGTTGAGGGCTCAGTAAGAGGAGAGGACTCAGGGTCCCCTGGGCTGCTTGTGTCTGTAGAAGCTGTTGAAAGCTGGGATAGAGAGATGATTTCTTGGCTGGAGCCTGAGAGCAGCTGGGAATTGGGGTTCTTTGAGGAGCATGTGATTTCCAAAGATGGTGTGTTTTGAAGGGATGACAGGTCTGCAGGCAGGTACAGGGGCTGGGGCTCTGGCAGTTTCTCTTCATCTGGTTGCCATCTTATTCTTCCTGGTAGGTCAGGCTGAGTGGGGCATGGGAGGAGAGAGCAGGTTGCTGACCTTCTGATGAGAAAGAGCTGGCAGGTTGTATGGGCAGTTGAGGAAAGATTAGGTGGGGGGGTGGGGGCTCTCTCAACAGGCTGAAACAGCTGGCCAGGTCCCCTCCGTGACAGTATAAGCTCTGGCTTGGCCTCAGGCTGCCCATGCTCCTAGTTTGTACACTCAAACTGTCTAGAATCTTGCTCAGAAAATCCAGTTCTTCTCCAGACCCCAAAAAGTTGCTGTGCAGAACTTCTTCTGCCCATGGACCTTGGGCATCCTCAGGGCTCAGGGGAGGTGTCCTGGCTGAGAAAGGGCACCCCAAGTTTCCTGAGACCTCAGCCCTGGTTGGTCTGCTCTAATGTTTGGAGAGCCTTCTGATCTATCCTGGTCTTCCACTTCCAACCTTGGTCCCCTTTGAGTCTTACCTTTCCCCCAGGGGCTCAGAAAGTCCCTCTTCCAGCTTAAGTCTCCTGCTGGGGCGAAGGGGTCTGTTCTACAAAGGACAGATGTGGAGAGGGCAGTGATGTGGAGCTGCAGAATCAGGGTGCTGGGGCTTTCTGGAGGAGGGTGTGTTTGAAGTGAGCACCAAATTTTGGTGTATGTGAGGAGTGAGGCGAGATGTTCAGGCAGAGACTAGGGACGGGGGTGGAGGATTTGATGATGATAATTCCAGGTGTTTACCTGGGAAGCACATCCTTACCTGTCCAAAGTGCTGGGTGATAGGCAGGCACTGCTGCAGGCAATCTGAGCAGCTGGTGAGGGTATGATCCTTAGGGAGCCTCCCCTGTGTAGGCCAGAGTCCCCATCCTAGGAAGAGAATGCAGAACTGGAGGCTCCTTCCCTCTTCCCTCCCAGGGCATTGGCCGTGCATCATTGATGGCCTTACCTTGTACAACAGTAGGCTTTGCATTCCTTTCGGACCACTCTTGGCCTATGGAAAAGCCAAGGGGAATTAGACCTATGGATGACTGGACACTGGGCATCTGAAGTCAGCCCTCTGACCCCTAGGAAAGCTGTGCCTTGCCACAGGATCTGTCTCTGTGTCTTCCAAATACGTTCACTACTCCCTGGGCACCACCTCTGAAGTCAACATAAACTTTTGCCCCCTTGACTAATACAAAAGCATTTCTGGAGGCCTAAACCCACATAAAACGGAGTGGCCATACTGCCTTGTAAAAATGTGTCACTGTCTCCATCAAACAAAGAATAAACTTAGATGGACAATTTTAAGCCCCAGGAAACTTTCAGGCTTTGGACAAAAAAAGAAGGGCAGAAGCTGGGATGTTTCCTCTGAGGACAAGAGTCACCTTGGCTGTCAATTTTAAATGGGCAAGAAGTGATTCTGACCCAGCCAAGCCTGCTGGAGGGGACATGAGAGCGGGAGGACTGTTCCTAGCTTGGCTGCTGCATCAGCTCTGATGAAGGCCTTCGCAGGACATGCCTGTCAGGGTTAAGTGACCCATTGCCCTTGGAGCCTCAAAACATCCTCTGTCCCCTCCCCCTTGTCACCCCAGCAGTCTGGCCAATCCTGCCCAGCTCACCGAGTGGTACATGATCCTAACAGCTGGTTGGGTTTTGGCTTTGACCAAATGCAGGACAGCACCACCACCTTTCTGTGGAAGACGTTTGTCAAAGGAGAGACTTGGGATCTTGGGGCCTCTGTACTAGGGCTGGGCCCCAGGCCCCACTCCCACCCCAGCTGTGCTGCTGGCCAATTCCCCCACCTCTATAAATGAGCATAATCACGGACCCTATTGAGGACTATTGTGGGGTTAAATTAATCTAATCCAATTAACATGTAAAAAAAGGGAAAAGAAGTTCTACCTTTATCTACAATATTATGCTGAAATCTGGGCACTCAAGCTCTAAACTAGAAAATCTTGAGAGGAAACTGACCAAAACTGTGGGAAGATTTAAAGATGTCCTGTTAATGCTAGATTATAATTAGATTATAACTCTAAAAAAATTATATTTAGAAGAGCTAAATATAATTTCTTACTTGGCAACACCTAAAGTAGTAGAATTGGGACCACAGTACAAGAAAGAGTAAAGAAAAACTTTTCAGTAGGATTTTTCAAACTGTCTAGCATCTAATACATTCTCTATCAGTACAAGTATTCAGGTATAAGCTGGCCAGGCATTCAGTGGGAACATGCTTGGAATGAAGCATCAAATGAGAGCTGGACGAGTTTGAAGACCCTTTTGATCTGGATACTATCTGTGACAACAGCTTAGAAGAGCTGATACACTGGTTAAATTACCATATAACACGAATGATGAACCTAAGCTAATTTTGAGGTATTCTTTAAAAGATCTCACTTTTCCTGTTTTTTTAAAAAAAAAAAAAAAAAAAAAAACACCTAGAAGGGATTTTTGAAAAGGACATTATATGTAAATATATATGGGCAGAGAGTGTAGCTCAGTGGTAGAGTCAGCTTAGCATGTTCAAGGCCCTAGGTTCAACCCCCAGCATGGCAAAATAAATAATAAATGGGTTTATACATGGTATGTGACTATATATACATATGTATGTATATATTTAATTCATTGAAATTCTTTTGGGTGAGAATTAGCTGTATAAGTATAAAGAGAAGTGTAAGGAAGCAGTGTGCCATTTTCAAACATGAATGAAATGGCTTTTTACTCAAGGATTTTTAATTTTCCACAAAGTAAATAATTTGATAATTTATCCATAAATTGCTAGTTTTCATGATTATGTAAAGTAATTTACATCATATTTGTTTTGAATACAGAAATTCCTAATTCTTTTCTGTGGGGTAGGCATGGGAGAGTACCAGGGATTGAACTCAGGGCACTCAAACATCGATCCACATCCCCAGCCCTATTTCATATTTTATTTGGAGACAGGGTCTCACTGAGTTGCTTGAACTACTATAAAGTCTCTAAACTCCCCGATTAGAATTTCATCTATTTTCATCATCATTCTGTAAAAGTAACTGAGAATTGTGATCATGTCATTCAACAGAGTGAGAACCAGCTTAGCTTTTAAAGTCATTTGCATCTTTCCAGTCTCATTTTTATTTTGTCTGTCTCCCATGTAGTCCATGCAAGTTATCTCTTGCCATTCTATAATTGTCTGGTACTTTCTGTTCACACCCTTAATTCTGTTTTTTGCTAAGAATGACCGTTTCCCTTGCTCACATATCTGACCATTGGTCTACTCTATAGATGCCCATTCTTTTTTTAAGATTGAACTCAGTAATCACATACAACTTCTGAGACCTTAGCATCCCTTCAGAAATACTTCAAGGTCTTCTCTGTTTTCTAACATTATATTATAATCGTGTGCTTATTTACAAGTCTCCCCCTCTCATGTGTTAGCTCTTTGGAGTCAGAAACTTTTGCTTCCCTATCTTTGCTTATCTGGTAAGCCTTCTAGTCAGTGTTTTGTGGTATAGGTAATTCTCAATAAATATTTATCAATTTTATTTCCCTGGAATTTTTGCTTTGATTTTGACTTAAAATTTTTCCATTGTGAAGACACTTTGCTGAAAAGAGTACTCAAGAATGTTAGACTCTTCCTCATTTTTTTACACCAGTAGTTCCCAAATCTAGATGAATTTTTAGACACCTGGAGATGTTTTGTTTTAGAAGACATGTTCCATCCCCTTACCACACCTTACCACTCCTAATAAATAAGGATACCTGCAGAGGCCCACTGAAATTTGTACTTTTTTTTTTTTTGTACTGGGGATTGAACCCAGGGGAAGTCAATCACTGAGCCACAACCACAGCCCTATCTTGTATTTTATTTAGAGATAGGGTTTCACTGAATTGCATAGTACCTCACCTTTGCCGAGGCAAAGTGAACTCAAGATCCTACTGCCTCAGCCTGCTGAGCTGCTGGGCAGCTTGCTGCCATGCCTAGCAGAATTTATACTTTTTACAAAGCTGCTGTCCAAATTTTCCTTGTGTGTCCTTTTCTCAATTATGCATTTCAGAATTAGTGTATAACAACAGTTTTGAAAACACTTTGTAAATTGTAAGTAATGCTGGTTATTTTTATCTATCACTTTGTCTCCTTGATGCCCTACCAGCAATCTCAAAGAAGTAAACTGTTTCTCTAAGGCTAATGCCTTGGATACCCTAAGGTTTGAAAGAACGTTAGGAAGTAACAGCAGGAAAAATGTCAGTTATCTTGTTCAAACATTTTTATCAGAAAAAGGGCCAGAAATCTGGAAACATACATTATGTCCTTATTCTCTGAAATGTTGAAGAGGAATGATTCCAGAAACTAAATATCAGAAAGCTTGAATGCAACCTACCAAGAATGCAACCTTCTATCTGTTAAACAGATAAGCATTTATAAAAAGAAATGGTGAAAAAATCCATATTAGTTAACTATAAATCTTAACCAACTACATTTTACTTCTCTTTTTTGAGGTGTTTACTAGAACCTCTAGAGGAAAGTATAAATTATGGAAGAAATCCCAATTTAAGAAAAGCATTTTATTAAGATTGAAAAAAAACCATTTTTTCCATATTTGGCTACTGTGAATTGTGCTGCTATAAACATTGATATACATGCTTTTAGTTCTTTAGTATGCTGATTTTAGTTCTTTTGTATAAATACCACCAAAAAGTGGGATAGCTGGGTCATATGGTGTTTCTATTCCTATTCTTTTGAGGGACCTCTGTGCTGCTATCCAAAGCGGTTGTGCCAATTTTCAGTCCTACCAATAAGGTACCTTTATCCTCACATCCTTGCCAGCATTTATTTGTATTCTTGATGATTGCCATTCTAAATAGAGTGAGATGAAATCTCAGTGTAGCAGGGCACAGTGGCGCATACCTGTAATCCCAGCTACTCAGGAGGCTGAGGCATGAGGATCTCAAGTTCAAAGCCAGCATCAGCAGAGGCAAGGCACTGAGCAACTCAGTGAGACCCTTTCTCTAAATAAAATACAAAATAAGACTGGGGATGTGGGTCAGTAGTAAAGGGCCCCTGAGTTTAATTCCTGGTTATACCCCCACCCCCACAAAAAAAAAAATCTCAGTATAGTATTGATTTGCATTTCCCCAGTTGCTAAGGATGTTGATTATTTTTTCATATGTTTTTTGGCCATTTGCATTTGTTCTTTTGAGAAATGTCTTAAGTTTAGTTTATTTGCCCATTTATTGAATAGTTTGTTTGTTTGATATTAAGTTTTCTGAATACTTTGTGTATTCTGACTATTAATCTCCTGTTGGAAAAGTAACTGGCAAAAATTTTCTCCCATTCTGCAGAGTCTCTGTTCCTATTCTTAATTGTTTCCTTTGCCATGCAGAATCTTTTTAGTTTGATGCCATCTCACTTACTGATTCTTGATTTTATTTCTTGAATTTTAAGAGTCTTATTAAAGAAGCTGGTGCCTGTGTCAATATGTTGGAGTATTAATTTCATGTTTTCTTCTGACTGTTGCAGTGTTTCTAGTCAATTCCCAGGTCTTTCAGCTACTTAGAGTTGATTTTTGTCAGGGTGAGAGGGATCTAGTTTCATTGTTCTACATATGGATATCCAGCTTTCCTAGCACCAATTGTTAAAAGACTATCTTTTCTCCAGCATATGCTTTTGGCACCTTTGTAACCAATATCAAATGACTGTGTCTACATGAATTTGCCGCTTTGTCTTCTAGTCTTTTCCATTGGTCTTCATGTCTGTTTTTATGCCAGTACCATGCTGTTTTTGTTACTGTGGCTCTGTAGTATAATTTGATATCAGATATTGTGATAACTCTAATATTGCTCTTATTGCTCAGTATTTCTTTGGCTATACTGGGTCTTTTATTCTTCCAAATGAATTTTAGTACTGTTTTTTTCAAGTTGTATGAGAAATGTCATTGGTAGTTTGATGGGGATCATATTGAATCTCTAGATTACTTTTAGTTATGTCCATTTTAACAATATTAATTCTGCTTATCCAAGAACATAGGAGGTCTTTCCATCTTCTGAGGTCTTCTGAAATTTGTTTCTTCAGTGTTTTATAATTTTCATTGTAAAGGTCTTTTCCCTTCTTAGATTTATGATTTTTGAGGCTATTGTGAATGAAATTGTTTTCCTGATTTTTTTCTCAGCAGATTCATTATTGGAGTATAGGAAAGCAATTGATTTTTGCATGTTAATCTTGAATCCTTCTAATTTGCTGAATTTGTTATCAACTCTCCCAGTCTTCTGTTGGGGTTTTTTGAGTCTTATATATCTTGAGTTTTTTTGAATGTAGACCCATGTCATCAACAAATAGATAATTTGACTTGTTTTACTATTTGTATCCTTTTAATTTCTTTCTTTTACCTGATTTCTCTGTCTAGAGTTTAAAGAACTATAATGAAAGAAAATGTACTGTATATCCACAGTGGAGTTTTACTTAGCCATAAAGAAGAATAAAATTATGTCATTTGCTATCAAATGGATGGAACTGTAGAACATCCTGCTAAGTAAAATAAGCCAGACTGAGAAAGTCAAGGATTGAAATTTTTCTCTCATCTGCAGAAGAGAGACAGCGAAAGAAATTTTTAAAAAGAGATAGAGGGAATCTCACAAAAATAGAAGAGATACTAATAGAGTAGAAGAACAGGATAGAGAGGGAGGGAGGAGAGAGGGCATGGGGAAATACTGGGGAACCAAATCTACCAAATTATGCTATGCCCATGTATGCCACAGTCTGACTGGGCACAAATGCCGCAGTCTGGCTGGGCACACAATCACGAGCCACCACACAGCTTGTAGATTCAAACAGCAACTCTTTATTCCCGAACTCACACCAGCCGTCTACAATCACGTTCTGGGGAAATCCACGTTCTCTGCCCAAATCCACCTCCACTGGGCTTCTATCTCCAAAATATACTGTCTAAATCCCGTGAGAACTCAAGGGGAACTCAGGCAGCAGGATACGCCCTATTCCCAGCAGGAATAATCTTAAACCTTAAACCTGGAACCTAAACTGGGAACGCCCTAAACAGGATTATCTTAAAACCGGGAACACCCTAATCTGCCTTGGTCCTTGAGCAAGGTCACGTACATTCAATGTCACTGCAACATGGGGTACGCTGGCAAGGAAATTGTCATACCTACTTGGGTAATGGCTCCCAGCACATGTATGAGTAAACCACAATAAATTCTTAATATATATGTGTGTGTGTGTGTGTGTGTGTACTATATGTATACATATTCTATATATTATATATATGCACTGATTAAAAATTTAAAAATAATATCATTAGAAAGTTGAACAAGTGGATCAAGGGGAGAGAAGAAGAATAAGAAAGGGAAGATATTGGGGAATAAGATTGATTAGATTATGTTTTATGCATGTATGGATATGCATAATGAATCCCACTATAATGTATAATTATAATGTATCAATAAGATTTTTTTTTTGGTATATAAACTATTTATTAACAGAAAAGGCCTACAGACTCATTTCTTCTTAGATACACCCACGGTGTGGCCGTGGCGCCCAGTGGTCTTAGTGTGCTGGCCTCGGACACGAAGGCCCCAGAAGTGGCGCAGTCCCCTATGGGCCCTAATCTTCTTCAGTCGCTCTAGGTCCTCCCGGAGTTTATTGTCTAGACCATTGGCCAGAACCTGGCTGTATTTTCCATCCTTTACATCCTTCTGTCTGTTCAAGAACCAGTCTGGGATCTTGTACTGTCGTGGATTCTGCATAATGGTGATCACACATTCAACCTTATCTTCAGTGAGTTCTCCAGCCCTCTTGGTGAGGTCAATGTCTGCTTTCCTCAACACCACATGAGCATACCTTCGCCCCACACCCTTAATGGCAGTGATGGCAAAGGCTATTTTCCGCCGTCCATCGATGTTTGTGTTGAGTACTCGCAAAATGTGCTGGAACTTTTCAGGAATCACTAGAGACATGGCGGCAGCAGAGCGGCAGTGTGTAGGCCTCCTGTGGAAGAGCTCAATAAGATTTTTTAAAGATTAAAAATATCTTTATTGACACATGGGAGAATGTGAAGTAACAATATAATTAAATGACATTTAAATCAAATTAAATATCAGTTTCCAAAGAATATTAAACAGTAGATGAACTTTTAAAGATAATACTAGTTAAATGTTTTCAGGATTTTTACTTGATTTTTTTTTAATCACTCATTAATTAAATCAGATTTGTTAAATCTCAATTTCACAGTGATCCCAGCATATAATGAGGGTAGTTCTTTTCAAATTTTTGCACTTTAAATAAACTTTCATTAAAAAAACTAAGCACCTTAAGCCTGTTACATACCTAATTTTGAGATTCCCTTTTCTCATTCTCAGTAGTTAACAGAGTAATAATTGTAAGTTAGCTGGTTTTTGCATAATATCATAAGCTAGGAAACTCTGATCTATGGTTTGTGAAAGATTTTTTTTTTCTTTTTTTACACAAATACTAAAATGCCAAGTTCAGCTAATGGAAGATTTATAGAAATGAAGATTCTGTGAGATCATTTTTATGACATTCTCCATGCCTACATAATATGGACAAAAGTAATAAAATGTGGAAGGAACTTTTATCTCCATTACACATTCAGGAAATATCCAATATAAGATCATAAATTTCAAGGAATATTGGTCATGATACAATGTAGCCAGGATCAAAATGAAGAGAATGGAGAATATGAGTTCTGCATTTCAAGTGAGTAGTACAATGGGGTAAATACTGTATAGAAGAAATTCTTAAGAGCTCTACCTGTGTACTCTAAGATAGTGCTCTCTAATAGAATCTTTCTGCAGTTGTATGGTGGCCTATCCCATATGGAGCCACATCTTATCCCTCAGGTATTTGGGTGCAAAATGAAAGCCTGACTAGAACTGCCACCTTCAAAGATTAGTAAGTGGTACAGGGTATAGCTCAGTGATAGAGCATCTGCCTAACATGTTAATAATAATAATAAAGTTAGTAAATAATTGGTGGGGGAGGAGGGGTATCAGAAAAGTATGAGAGCTAAATAAACTTTTTTAATGAAAGGAGACAGCAAAAAAATATACAAGATGGAAAAGATAAGGGATTTTGAAAGATTTATTCTAGGAGTCTAAAAAGATTTTTAGGTCTTAACCTATTCGTGACAAAGAAAATTAAAGCACACCATCTGTGAAACCAATGATATGGCAATAAAATAAGATGGTGGAAAACTGATAATGTTCAGAAAAATTACCTTTAAAAATGATAGTATGACTTAAAGGAATGAAAGAGTAATAGTGGGACTGGGGTAGGAGTGTTAAAAAAAAAGAAAAGAAAAAAAGGATAACCTGTGGGGGAGGAGTAGCAATTTATAAAGCAGAAAAACAAACAAACAAAAAGATTTTAAAAAATAAAGTGAAAATATTACAGGTCACAAACATGGAAACTAGATAACATTCATATTCAGAAAATTACTGTGCTAAGGGAAGAAAATAATAAAATGAAAGAATAAAAGTATATTTACAGATATGGTAGAAGAAAACTTTTTCTGAAATAGGAAGCTTACAATTTAGAAGTCCCACATTCTGGATGGTAGGGAGAGGGTGGGAAACAGAAATATTGTAAATCCAAGTGAAATTCAATAGGAATATTAAGTCATATGAGCATTAGAAGCATCTGAGCTGTATAAGTAAGTCTATTACTGAATAATTAATCTAGTTGAACTCAAGTTTTTCCTTCATAATTATACTTTATTTATTCATTCAGCAATTTTTATTCACCATCTGCTTCTTGCCAAGCACTGTTTCTAGATACTAGAATTTAGGGTTTAGCAAGATGAAAGGATCTCTGTCTTAATAGAACTTAGGTTCTTATGATATAAATTTTAAAATATACAAATAAAAATTGAGCTATTTTTAGTTTACAGATATTTTAATTATAAGTATTTGAAGATATAAAACAGCATGATTCAGAAAGTTTGCCATCTAAGTGATAAGAAGAGACCAATCGTATGAGAACTCATGAAGCTTTTAACCCACATGGCCTTCCTGAAAAACTTACTTGAAATTCTAACATCACTAACCAAAGAAAAAAATCAAAGAACTCATAAATTGAAACATCAGGGGCTGGGGATGTGGCTCAAGCGGTAGCATGCTCATCTGGCATGCGTGCTGCCCGGGTTCTATCCTCAGCACCACATACAAACAAAGATGTTGTGTCAGCCAAAAACTGAAAAATAAATATTGAAATTCTCTCTCTAAAAAAAAAAAAAAAAAAAAAAAAAAAAAAGAAACATCAGGGTATCAAACAAATAGCAGTGAACATTTAGTGTGAAAGTAAATCTTAATTGTTTCATTTTGGTCACAAAACTTTATAATCATTATAATCCTAATTCTCAAAGGGAAATTGCAACATAAAATAATAATTTAACAGAAGTAGAGGTGAAATAGCAGCAATTTGTAACTAAAATTAGGGAATTAATAGTAAAAGGAAATAGTGCTTATAATTACAGTATGTAATATCTTTAGATTTCCTGTGAGAATCAATAGTTTTGTCTAGAAATACATGTTTAAGCATACCACTTATAACAGAAGGAAAAAAGCAAGCACCAACTTTATAACAAAAGATGTATTACAAAGCAACAGCAAAGAAGCAATAACAAAGATAGAAGAGGACTGAACATCTTTTCTAATGCTGAAAATGTGATACACTCACTACGTATAAAATTTGAGTAATAAATGAAACTATATTCTTTCCACATCAGTGTGCAACTCATGATATTTAAAAATGAGAAAGTTGAAAAGGCAAAAATAGTATAACATATAAAATTATTCTAAAATTGTTTGTTAAGGATTATTTTAAAGTAATAATTCAGGCCAGATGGGGTGGCACACGCCTGTAATCCAGTGGCTTGGGAGGCTAAGGCAGGAGGATCACGAGTTCAAAGCCAGCCTCAGCAATATCAAGGCGCTAAACAACTCAGTGAAACCCCATTTCTAAACAAAATATAAAATAGGGCTGGGGATGTAGCTCAGTGGTCAAGTACCCCTGAGTTCAATCCCCAAAACCAAAAAGTAATAATAATTCAAAACCCGGTACAGTAGTACACACCTGTTATTCCAGCTACTCTGGAGGCACAGCAGGAAGACAGTGACTTAAAGGCCAGGCTAGGGAGGCAGCATTAAGAAGACCCTGTCTCAAGTAATAAGAATTCAAATCTTGAGAATCCTTTTTTTTTTTTTTTAATAATAGAAATTGAACCCAGAAGGGCTTTACCACTGAGCTACATCCCCAGCCAGAATAGCAAAAACAATGCTAAGCAGGAAGTGTGAATCAGGCGGTATAGCGATACCAGACTTCAAACTATACTACAGAGCAATAGTAACAAAAACAGCATGGTACTGGTACCAAAACAGGCGGGTGGACCAATGGTACAGAATAGAGGACACAGAAACCAATCCACAAAACTACAACTATCTTATATTTGATAAAGGGGCTAAAAGCATGCAATGGAGGAAGGATAGCATCTTCAACAAATGGTGCTGGGAAAACTGGAAATCCATATGCAACAAAATGAAACTGAATCCCTTTCTCTCACCATGCACAAAAGTGAATTCAAAATGGATCAAGGAGCTTGATATCAAATCAGAGACGCGCCGTCTGATAGAAGAAACAGTTGGCTACGATCTACAGTCGGTGGGGTCGGGCTCCA